GGTCCGATATCGGCCGTTCCGACAAATGAGCAGCTTCTTGGGGAGAAAAAGAAGTGTTCAAAATTTCAGATCGATATCTCAAAACCTGAGGGACTAGTTCGCGTATATACAGACGGACGGACAGACGGACAGACAGACGGACATGGCTAAATCAACTCAGCTCGTCACGGTGATCATTTATATATATACTTTATATGGTCTCCGACGTTTCCTTCTAGGTGTTACAAACTTCGTTGGAAAATTAATATACCCTGTTCAGGGTATAATTTACGGGCGCTCTGAGGTCGGAAAATGGAAGAGTGTAGTTGGTTGAGTTTTCAAGGATTAAAAACGGTTTATCTCGATTGCTTAATAAACTAAAAGTCTTATGGTAAAAATTTAATATTGGTTCTAAGCCGTCTTTATTGAAATTTAAAATTAGAACAAGTAAGGAAGGGCTAAGTTCGGATGTAACCGAACATTTTATACTCTCGCAAAGTCAAATGGTATACTCGTTTGAGATTTCTTTGTGGATTGACTGATATTTTCGGTAGAAGGTCAACTATAGGCACTGGGGTCCACATATTTAGTACTTAGGGGTTTGAACAGTTTTGGTTCGATTTAGACAATTTTTGGCCGCAAGGTGGCATACTTTAATTGCATTATTTACGCAAAGTTTTACCCCGATATAATCATTGTTACCTGATTTGCATAGTGGAAAGTGAAAGAATCAGATGGAATTGAAAATGGTGTTACATGGGAAGTAAGCGTGATTGTAGTCCGATTTCGCCCATTTTCGCACTATGACATATAAACATGAAAAGAACGTTATGCACCGAATTTGGTTGAAATCGGTTGAGCAGATCTCAAGATATGGGTTTTCACCTAAAAGTGGGCTGTGCCACGCCCACTGTCTAATTTGGAACGCGGTTCCTATAAAGTCATCTTATACCATCTCAGAGATAAAATTTAATGTCTCTGGCGTGTTTAGTGCTTGATTTATCGCGCTTTTAGTAGTTTTTAACAGTACCGTTATATGGGGAGTGGGCGGAGTTGCCACCCGATTTCAACTATTTTCACACCGTCAATAGAAGTGCTATACACATTTGCTTCTAGTGAATTTTGTTGTTATAGCATTAGCGGTTTAGGAGATATGCACATTAAACCTATTAGAGGCGGGACCACGCCCACTTTTTAAAAAAAAGTTCTAACTGCAGATGCCCCTCCCTAATGTGATCCTGTGTACCAAATAACAGTCTTGTATCTTATTGCGGAGCTTAGTTATGGCAAGTTATTTGTTTTTGATTAATGGCGTTTTGTGGGCGTGGCAGTGGTCCGATTACGCCCATCTGCAATACCAACCGTCTCACGGTACCAAGAAACATGTCTACCAAGTTTCATAAAGATATCTCAATTTTTACTCAAGTTAGAGCTTGCACGGACGGACGGACAGACGGACGGACGGCCAGACGGACGGACGGACAGACGGACGGACGGACAGACAGTCACCCGGATTTCAACTCGTCTCTTCATCCTGATCATTTATATATATATAACCCTATATCTAACTCGATTAGTTTTAGGTGATACAAACAACCGTTAGGTGAACAAAACTATTATACTCTGTAGCAACAGGTTGCGAGAGTATAATGAATGATAAAGGGTAAAGACACAAAAGAACCAGAGGTAACAAAATGAATCACAATAGTGAAGAGAAGTGTCGCCACACAATTAGTAATTCATATTTCGGACAGTTATATGAAAAAGTTGTAATTAAAAGATTTACAACTTTTGTCTTAACATTTTTCTAACATAATCCCAAAATTTATGTTAAAAATTCAAAGAACCAAGTTTTGGTTTTTTATTTTTATCTATTACAAAAATTTGTTTTCTTTCACGAGATTTGGGGTAAACTAACTTTTTTATGTACACATTGTCATTTTTTGGTTTAAAATATTTATTTTTTTACGTTATTTTGACTGAATATTGAAAAAGACCGATTACTTTTGATCGAAAATTCTCACGTCAAAATATCAGTTTTTTTTATTGGTAAGTTTTTTCTTCATTGAAATCTGTAATTTCTGATGGTGTAAAAAAATATACATAATATATTCAAAAAACGATCACACTAAACGATTCAAAGATGCTCCGTTCCCACGACAGTCGGGTCTACGTAACCGGAACGGACCCGGATTTATTTCGGCCAAGGACGGTCAACTCGTCACAATTCTGCCGCTACAACAACAACATTCAAAGATGCTTTGTTTTATTACATCTACCTGTTATTCAGTAATAGGAGCTGTTAAAAATCAGTTCTGAATCACTTATTGGGGGTGGGCGGGGTAGTTTTGCATTGAAATGAAAATGGATACTGCACTGAACATATCAGATTTCTTGGCGCTTCCAATACTAAACAAAAATGTTCAAACAAACCAAAAAACATTTTCGCAAGCAATTATTTGAGATAAGCTAAATTTGTATATGATCTACATATATCACATATTTATGAATGCATTGTACATAGTACGTACACGCAGACCATCTATTGTAGCTATTTTTATAAAGCACCGAAATTTCGATATTTATACTGTCGCAACGCTAGAAGAGAAACTAAGCAAAGCGAATGGCAATCGAAAAAAACTCAAATATCTATGGTTTAAGTAATTTAATAATTTTTGGTAAGAATACAATTGTGTATTCAAGTACCCCTTTGTTATTATTCCTACGTATATATTTACAATAAATACAAACATTCGTTGTGCACCTGCCTTGCAGACACATAACCCCAGAAATGGCGGTAATAAATCCATCATTGCAGACGGCAACGCTGTATATGCCTTAAATAACTAGTGTGAGATAATGCCAAAGAAGTCGATTTTGTGTATATTATTGGAAAAAATAAAACGCAAAGTCATGCGTATACATTGAAAATTCATTAGAACTCACAAAATTCATGGTATGTAAGATGAAAATGGTGAACATAGCCACATACATACGAGATCAATATATGTACAATGTTTACAATTTTATGTATATACGAGTATGTATGGTTGAAGCGAACGGGAGAAAATATACACAGGCAAATATACTTATTATTTATACACGCTACTTTTTATTCAAATAAAGTTTTATATGTGTGTTCATTTTATACACCATCAATCTTCTACGGAATGAAAATCTCGTAACTGTTATTCTAATATGCAGCACACAAATTGGTAGCCAAACAAATTAACACCTAAATTTCACACAACATTTCGATTTGAAAAATGTATCTGGAAAAACACATTGATGGTATTTGCCGTACGTGCAAGGATTTGCAGCACACAAATATACGTATGTCCGTTACACATAGGACGTGCCCGCAACCATATGTTGCCAAGCGGCTGTGCGGCTTACAACCGAATCCAGTCACGTTTTGTAAATCACGTGCATTTTAAACTAACTTAAGCCAAGGAAGAAGCCTTTCAACTACTTTTTTATGCTGGTGGGATTGCCCCCTCAATATTTATTGCAGCAAGTAGTTACATACATATATTATATTACAACTGAGGAGATTTTTTTGTATTTCATTAGCTATTTTACGCAATTATAAACAGTTTTTTTTATTAAAATTTAAGAATCAATTGATTTTTATACAATACATAAATAACTTAACATATGTACTAATGCCAATTTCAAATCTGTTTGTATATATTCATAACTATCTGTATATATCTTATGTATATCGTATTTCATGCATATTGACATCTTATATTTCTAACATATTTCTATTTCAAAATTTTAATTTCCATATAAAATTATGTTTCCTTAAAATATCCCAAACTTCATACATAACACCCGTTAACAAAAAAAAATTCTTTTGGGTTTCTGTTTTCATGCTTTAATTATGTTTCTATACATTAAAAACGCTGGATTTTTTATTTTTATCTCTTAAAGTTTGCTTTTGCCTGATATAAATGGCCTGCTTTGCCTATACGAACATAAAAGAAGTACGCAAAATATTCACTTTTAAACATTAATTTCTTGTTATTTAACATTTATATGCTCTTATTTATCACAATTTTTAAATAAAAGAGACTCTAATATTCAGTAAAAACTTGTCTTATCATAACTGAAAGTAAAATTATAAAACTAGAATGAAATTCAATTCTTTTTGCTAAAAATTTAAATTTTGTTTTAGAAAAACTGAAATTTAACATGCAGAAGTCAGACCCAAAAATCGTGTTTACCGGTGTAATATTTTTATGGGTATAACAGCCAAAATGTAATAAATTATTATGCAGAACACGACTACATACTTCAGAGTAAATAAAAAGTAAATATTTGATTATTGGAAATTTAAACAAGAAAAAACGTTAATTTCGCTTGTATCGAAGCTACACCCAAATCCCTTAACACACCGAAGAATACTCTTAACAAATACAAAAGACTCCATTCAAGAACTTTGCCAATAATAATTTATTTTGGACGGTCAGTTTGTATGGCAGCTACATATGTATATCCTATTGTGGTCCAATATCGGCGGTTTCGATAAATGAGCAGCTTCTTGGTGAGAAAAGAGCACGTGCAAATATCAGAACGATAGCTCAAATACAGAGAGACTAATGCTCGTGTATACTGACAAGACTAAATCGACTCAGATCGACGCGCTGACCATTTATATACAATATTTTTATAGGCTCTCCGACTTTTCCTTACGGGTATTACAAACATCGTGTCAAACTTAATATACCCTCTTCAGGGTGTAAAAAAAAGTACCTTAGCTTTTCCTAGTATTTGTTTATAAATAAATTTTGTCCATAGGTACTCGGTAGTGCTTCAGAGCAATATAATATGTAACAGATATATGAACATGTATATGAGTTTACAATGTCTAAATGTGGAAAAATAATTTAAACGAAAATATTTTATAGCTTAAATAATAGCAAACTAAAAAGTAAAATAAAACAACGTAGCAAAATTATGAGATAAATATCTTTGCAATCAATAACTTCTGTAACATTCAGCCGGAACGTACATACCTTCATAGCCCGCCCGTTGGCGTTCAGAATCATACTTCGCTAGCGCCCCCTTGATAGCCTCACGCTCCGAATCCTTTAAATTGTAGACCAATTCACGCGCGCGTTCCGAACACAAAGGCTCATGGACCGTATCGGTTGGATATTTGCCGCGTAACTGTGTAATAACTTGTGTACAAATATTGGTATGTGGCTGACGGAAGTTACTATGGCGGTTATATGTATTGCCTTGCAGTCGCGGGAGGTGGGCATGTTGATAGCGTTGCTGCAAAAAGATGCCGGCAACGCTGATAGTGCTGGCAGTAAAATTGGTGTTCACTATGGTGTTGGCAAGTGTGGTGCCACCTACTAAATTCAACTGATTTCGCTGGCTTCCCAATTGTGTTAATAATCGTGTTTGTTGTTTGTTTGTGTGTGTTTGTTGCGGTTGGAATAAGCGTAAACAAGTTCGAGCATAACGCACTAGTTGATATTTATCTGCTTGCATTTTTGTTGTAACTTAATTAAATATTTATGACTAATAAAAGAACACTGTCGCTCGTATTTTGAATTTTTTTTTTGCTTTAAAAAGAAAGCTCGTTTGAATCACAGTTTAAAGCGCGTACAATATTGCTTTTGTAATAATTATGTACATATATTAAATTTCATGTATCAGCTTTGCTATGTTACTATGTATGTAAATGACGTCACGTAAGCACTTGTCGCGGGACTGCCACTAGAGTTTTTCTGTTGAGGTAACACCGTATCACTATTTCAAGCTCTGCTCAACAATTTTATACTCAGCAAAAATTTTTCTCAACACTCACACAATAGCAATGCCAATCAGTTAAAAATAGCACGAAATTTCGTTGTACAACTATATATTGACGTTGGCGCGGCGCTTGAACAAAACCGACTATCACTGGCCTTCTTTGCTTTCCGTGTATTTACTGGTTTTGCATTTTGGCCCACAAAAGCTCCGCGAATTTTCTTGACCGAAAACTTTCCAGTTTGTTGCGCTTTTATCCACTTTCTCACCACTTTAAATTTGTTGTCCAACAAATGTATGAAAAAAATTGAAAGTTATTTTCAGCTGAAGTGACTTTTGCAGCTCAACAGCTGTTACACACACGGTTGCATTTTTAGGTTCAATTAGAGGAATGACATGGAATACGGAACAAAGGGTATACCATTTTTTGTATTAATTATTTAATCAGTGAACTGACAAATTTTGAATACAAACTTAAAATTTAAATACATAGTTTTTAATAAAAAATGCATAATTAATTTAATATTACATATTTTTTCAACTAAAATACTTTTTTGTTTTTATTGCGCAGTAAGCATTCTATTTTTTTTGAAGACTTCCACGAAATTGACACTCCTCAGCCGGGCATAACGCATACTGATCTGTTATTAATACTTTTTATACCCTAAAGGGATACATTAAGTTTGCGACGAAATTGTGACATACAGAAGGTAATGTCGAAGAACCTATAAAAAATATACATACATACATACATATATAAATGATCAGCGTGTCCATCTGTATATACGCGAAGTTGTCCTTAAGTTGTTTGAGATATCGATCTGAAATTTTGTACACGTCTTCTTCTCTTTAAGAAGCTTCTCATTTGTCGGAATTGCCGGATCACTATAGTATATAGCTGTCTTACAAACAGATCAATCAAACTCAAGTCCTTGTAAGAAAAATATTTTTATTAGACAAGATATCTTCACAAAGATATAAATTAATTTTCTAATTTGGACCACTGTATCATATACATATCTGTCATTCAAACTGATTGATCAAACTAAAGATAGGGATCTTTTTATACCATATGTATGCTATAATAAATGCACCTTTGAAGGGTATTATATCTTCGGGGCAGTCGATGTTACTAGACTAAAAATGTCACCTAAGCCGGTGATAGGTTAGGTTAGGAAAAAAGGTTGATTTTAATGAGGCCATAATAATCCCACTTAGACTGCTAGATACGCTTGTCTGTTGTAATACCCAGAACTCCTAAAAACGGATCAAAAAGACCGTTGTATATCTACAAAGCGCCTAGAGCCAGACACAAATTTATTGAGCTGGCTAATATCTACTCCAGCCAGTTCGCCGGGTTCGTAAAAAGTATGGCAACCAACATGTTTCAACCTTGGTCTAGTGAAAGCTGCACAGTGAAGGATAATTCTTTAGTCTCACTACGTGAGGGCCAATGGGACAGTGTTCAGTTAGGACAACTATAATTGCGGCCATGTGAACCTTGCTAAGAGCTAGTAGTTCCATGGACCTTTTGCGTTACACTCTGGACCAGAAGGCTTTCGCAAAAAATCCCCACAAGTGCTGGTTGCTAACCAACGCTTACTGAGCTCGCGCAAGACCCATAGATCTAGCGCCCGAGTGCACGAAGACAATTGTACATCTGCTCGTTCCCATCCTAGTGGGATTTGGGTAAAGGCTTCCTTTCTAGCGAGCTTATCGTAGCTTAATAGCTACCATTTCTGCTTGATAGACACGACAGTGGTCTGGCAGTCTGAAACAAAAATTGATTGAGAGCTCTCGACAAAGGACTCCCCCTCTAACCTTTCCCATGAGCTTCAATCTATCGGTTAAAAAGCTCAGTGCGCCTCTTCTCCAGCTGGTGATACTTACGGCACTCAAAATCGGGGCAGAATGAATAGGGATATAAAAAAAAGTCTTTAGGTTAAATTATTACCGTAATTTTTATTAATGAATTTATTGAGTATCTTATAAAAGTGTTTTTATATAAAAGTTTTTCATTTCTTTAATATCGTATCTAAACCTATAAGTACAAAAATTAAAACTAATTTATTTGTATTTTAGAAATCATATCGCTGTAGGCATATTCGATTTAAGTTTAGAGATCTTGAAAACAGATTTCCAATAAATCGATAATACATTAATATTGCTTTAACTATAGAATATTGGCACGAGAGTATGAGTATATTGTATACGACTGTTTATAACTAAAACTGTAGGCACGGCCTCTCACCCTTCACCATTACGTGCAGTCATGCGCTCTTTGACCCGGTATGCCACGCAGTTCTTGTGTGAGCGTGCGCAAAAGTGGATGTTTGCCGCAACCGCAGCGTCCACGGAAATCATCCAAATCCAAAGCCCAAACCATACCACCGCCGAGTCCTAAACTTTTAACAAACTGCGCTTTACGACGTATGTCCGACACATCGTCATATGAAACCCATTGATTGCCGTTGTATGCATATGGACCGATACGTCCTTGAGCATCACGTTCTACTGACCAACCACCACCATTGATTTTCTCACATATCTCATAATAGGCCAGGAAACCTGCTGCACGTGTAAATGCGCCAGCTTGTCCAGGACCTGTTGACTTAGCATTGAGACCGCGTTGCTTAACGTCCGCCAGCGTAAACGCTTGACCATATAATGGCATGCCCATAACAAGTTTCTCACGTGGTGTACCATTTTGCAACCAATAGTTAATACTGAAGTTGCCGTTGAAATATTCATTCGTATCGCCCTCGACGTAGTACAGTGGCGCTACATGACCTGTTTGCTTATCCCAGTGTCCGTGGAAGTCATATGTCATGACAGCAATCCAATCGAAGTAACGCGCTAACTGAGGTACATCATAGCCAGCATCGATAACCACTTTACTGGGCGAAACGGCAGCAGATAACAGAAGACCACGTGGCTTGAAAGCCTCGGATAGTTCACGCACTAATGCAGCAAAACCTTCTTTCTCGGCTGCTGAACCCTTTTTGCAATCAACTTGCCAGCATACTGGGTACTCCCAGTCCAAATCGAGACCCTCAAAACCATATTTGTCGATAAAAGCAAGTATGCTCTCAATGAAACGTGCGCGTGCCTCTGGATCTAAAACCAAACGTGCATATTTGCTACCCAATGAATCATTCCAACCGCCAATGGCGAGTGTCACCCGTATACCCTTATTCTTGTAGGCAACTACGCGTTCATAAAAATGATTATCGATGTCAGCCCACGAATCGTGTGTGCGTATGGTCAGTGAGTTACTGTTTAGTACAGCGAAACCGTAAACTATATGAGTGCAGAGGTTTTCATCAATATCTTCGGGCACATATTTACCCTCACCCGGGCGATACCAAGCCCAATTAGTAAAGTAGCAGACAACCTTATAATCACCGGAGCCAGTTATTGGTGGCAAAGTGGGTGGTTTTGGCCGTGAAGTTGGCTTTTTGCTGGGTGTCTGTGAGGGTTTTTTGGTCGGTTTCGTAGGACGCGAAGACGTGGGTACTGCTGTTGGTTTGGGACGACTTGTTGTAATGCTTGTGGGGTTAGGACGCTGTGGTACTGGCCGTTTTGTTGTTGCCTCTTGACGCATAGAACATTTGGCATTTTGTGGCCAATCACAGTAAAATTCATTCCAATAAAGGCCAGCCGGACAGCTAAGAAGTTACAGACAAAATATTAAAAGGGGATATATTTTTAGGTGTGGGTTTAAGTTTTTACCTTTGTTCGATTAATTTTTCAAATTGGCAAATATAGTACTTGTTGCAGTCGCGTTCGTGTGCCACGAAGCTTCGACCATTACAGGGCTTCACTTCCTCTGGCCCGAAATCTTCTAACGGAGAATTTTGTATTTGTTGAGAAGTTTCGAAGTATTCACTGGAGTATGTAGGATATGGTTTTTGTGCACCCGGTTTTGGTTTGGCGGTATACGCTTGCGACGGACCGCTATCAGAAGCAACTACAACATAAAAAAATGGGTTCGAATCCACTCTCAAATCATTAGAAAAATTCATCAATTACTCACTCATGGCATGCTGCTTCTGTTCTAGTACACACTTTGGTGTCACACCTGGATAATTTCGCAACACACGGTTAATAGTTTTAAGCAGTGGATAAGATTCGCAATCGCACACATTTTTGAAGTCATCCAAGTCGAGAGCCCAAATCATAGCGCCACCTAAGCCCATTGCACGAACATATTCACTCTTATGTCTGATCATTGAAATGTCATCGAAAGAAACCCACTGATCGCGTTGAAAAGCATACGGTCCCATGCGTCCACGTGGATCGCGAACCACATTCCATCCACGCTTGCGTACATACGAGCAGATCTCATAGTAGGCAAGGAAACCACGTGCGCGTGTCGCTTCACCCGCTTCTCCACCGCCATAAGTTGGCGCATTCAAATCATGATCCGATGCTTGTGCCAATGAGAACGATTGCCCATACATTGGCATACCCATTATGATCTTCTGTCGGTCTGCGCCATTTTGCAACCAATAGTTTATAGAGAAATTGGCATTAAACGTTTCTGTGCCTGCGGGATGGTCATACATGGGTGCTACGTGTCCAGTCTTTTTATCCCATTGCCCGTGGAAATCATATGTCATAACGGCGATCCAGTCAAAGTAATGTGAGAGTGTTGCCACATCATAACCAGCATCAATGACTTTCTTATTCGGTGAGACTGCAGATGATAAGAGTAGTCCCTTTGGTTTGAAGGCCTGTGATAGCTCACGCACCAAAGCAGTAAATGCATCCTTTTCATCAGGTGTACCCTTCTTGCAGTCCACTTGCCAACAAACTGGGTATTCCCAATCCAGATCAAGACCATCGAAGTTATACTTCTGTATGAATTCTACAACATGGTTTATGAAACGTGCTCTTGCCGCGGCATTGCGTACTAAACGTGCATACTTATCACCGGCTGAGTCATTCCAGCCACCAATGGCTACAGTCACCTTTACACCCTTTTTACGGAAGGCCACAACTCGTTCATAGAACTTATTGTCCAAATCAGCCCAAGAGTCATGTGGCTGTATGGTAAGCGTTTCGCGATTGAGCACGGCGAATCCATAGACAATGTGTGTGCAAAGATCGGGGTCAATGTCTTCGGGCAAGAATTTGCCACCATTCTGACGATACCAAGCCCAATTAGTGAAATAGCAGACAACTTTGAATTCGGAAGGCGAAGCTTCGTTCTCGGTGCCTGTGCCGGTGTTCGTGCCCTCACCCGATTCTACAGCTGTGCCAATTATGGTGCCAGTACCCGTTTCTTCGATAGACTCCACTTCTTCCACATCACCATTGGGATCGATAACGTTTTCTTCGGCAAAGCCGGTCTCTATATCTTCCGGTATGACGGAACTTTCAATGCTATTTACATCTTCACCCGATTCCGTTTCTACAGTGGGCGCAATTGGTTCATTTGCACTAAGGCCAGCTAAAAATTCAATTTTGTGTCAGCTTCAAATCACCTTTCATTTCATTACACTGTGAACTTACGCAATTCTTCATAATCTTTTGGTGGGTCCTTTAATACATCGTGTATTTGTGTGAGTAGAGGATGTACACCATCTCCACAACGATTACGAAAATCGTCCAAGTCCAAGGCCCATACCATACCACCTCCCAAATTCAAAGCTCGTACCAATTGAGACTTTTTGCGAATCATTGCGGGATCATCGAATGACACCCACTGTGTGCCTTTACGTGCATAAGGTCCCATACGTCCCTGTTCATCCTGTACTACTTCCCATCCATCATTCTTAATGCGATCGCAAATCTTAAGAAGAGAATATATTATTTACATATATGTCTTCAATCATTTAGTTTAGTAATTTCGTACCTCGTAGTAGGCCAAGAAGCCTGCCGCACGCGTAAATTCTCCCGCTTTTCCAGGACCAGGAGCCTTAGCATTGAGACCATTGAAGTTTGCATTTTCCAGCGTGAAAGACTGACCATATAGTGGCATACCCATAACAATTTTGCGTGAGGGAGCGCCCTTTTCAATCCAGTAGTTCAGGGAGAAATTCTGAGGAAGAAAACAATAATGGAGAGTTGATATTAGTTTTCAAAAATTAATCATTAAGTATATATCACTTACGGCGTTGAAGTAGTCGATTTCATCTTCGGGATGGTAGAACAGTGGCGCAACATGTCCAGTCTTTTTATCCCATTGACCATGGAAGTCATAGGTCATTACAGCAATCCAGTCAAAGTATGTAGATAATTGCGGAACATCGTAGCCGGCATCGATAATTTTTTTACTAGGTGAGACAGCGGTTGAGAGAAGTAAGCCACGTGGCTTGAACTCCTCCGAAAGCTCTCGCACCAACGCTGTAAATGCTTCCTTTTCATCAGGCACGCCCTTACTGCAATCCGTCTGCCAGCACACAGGATATTCCCAATCCAGATCGAGACCTTCAAAACCGTACTTTTCCAGAAACTCAACGGCATGCTTGACGAAACGTGCCCTGGCAGCGGGGTTGCGAACGAGTCTACTGTATTTGTCACCTTGCGAATCATTCCACCCACCCAAGGCAAGACTCACCTTAACACCCTTACTGCGCAAACCACTGACACGTGTATAGAAGTTATTGTCGATATCGGCCCAAGAGTCGTGTGTGCGTAGCACTAAGTTGGAGTAATCCAGCACAGCGAACCCATAAACAATGTGCGTACACAAGTCGGTATTGATGTCATCTGGGGTATATCGTCCCGCACTCTTGCGATACCAAGCCCAGTTAGTGAAATAGCAAACCACCTTGTAGTATCCATCGAGCGGTGCCAGTTCTGGCTTATCTGTTGGATATGTAGGACGAGGTGCACGCGTTGTGGTTGTTGTTATGGTTGGTGCGGGGCGTTTAGTTGGTTTTGGTTTTACTACAGCTGGGCCTCCTTGCGCAATTTCATTTTCGCCATGCTCGGAACTCCCACCTTCACTTACATCGTAACCACTCTCGTCCTGCGTACACTTGGCTGACAAAGGCCAGTCACAGGTGGTTAATGCCTCGTTAAAGTGAAGGCCTGGTCCACAATCACCACCCTGTAAGCGGTTCCACAAACAGAAGAGAAATTTGGAACAGTCGCCCGGGTAGGCTACACGTTCCTCACCGTTACAAGGATCGTTGGGGTTAGAGTTACGCAGTGCCAGTAGATTGCCTGAACGTAGTGCTTGTGTCTTAACTCTACGTAAGTACTGTCTGGTAGTAACGCACTGTACATTTTCGGGCCAATCGCAAATCTGTCGTATACCATCCCAGTGTAGATCGCCACCGCAAGAGTTCGGCACCAAAGCACCATTTACACAAATATAGTACTGGTCGCATTTCTTATGGGTGTAGTATTCACCCTCGTTACATTTGGCGCTTGGACGTTGTGGTTTAACGGGTCGTTGAGGTTTACGAGTTGGTTTGCGTGATGGCTTACGGGATGGTTTAGATGTAGGTTTCTTCGATGGTTTGCCTGAGGTTGTAGGCAAAGAAGTAGTGTGGGCAATGGTAGTTGAGGTATTAGTAATGGGATGGCGAGTAGTTTTCTTGCTTACGCTAGTAGAGGTAGGATTGATGGTAGAACGACTTGTGGGTGGACGAACAGTTGTGCCCGGTGACTTTGTGGGACGTGTGGTAACTGAGTTAGAAGTTGCAACGGGTTTGTTTTTCACAGAACATTGCGCAGCCTCGGGCCAATCACAATTTTTGCTCTGATTATTCCAGTGCAAACCACCTGGGCAAAATTGCTGATGTAGTTCACCAACAGCGATGCACTGATAATAAGCATTACAGTTATAGCGATCTGCGTAGAATTTACCAGGCTGACAGTTGGATGCTTGCACAACGGGGCGCACGACGGCTGGAGAAGGAATTGTTGTATGTTCAGGGCGATTGGGACGACGTGTGGTTGTTGGACGTCTCGTAGTTGTTGTTGTTATAGTAGTTGTAGTGGTTCTTCTGGTCGTGGTCGTTCTTGGTGTAGTGGATGTACTCGTTGGCGTCCACCAGGGTGTGGTTGATGTAGGACTGCTTGTTGGCCACCATGTTGTCGGTGTCGTGTGGTCATGTTGTTGAGAACTCGTGCTACTCACCGAGCCGTCACTACTTACCGTGGTCATTACAGGCGGTATAGGTGTAACAGGCGCCACTGGCCGCTTACAATTTCCACGATGTGGTGGTTCTGTGTTGAGTAATCCTAATGCGCGGTTGATTGCTTTGAGCAGTGGGAACGCTTCACTACAGCAACGGTTTTGGAAATCATCCAAATCGACAGTCCATGCAGCAACGCCACCAAAGTCGTTATTTGCTGCATAACGTGCCTTTGCCTCCACAGAAGCAGGATCTTCGTAGCCGACCCATTGGTTTCGTAACATTGCGAAGGGCCCCGATTTGCGCTCGCCGTCACGTCCCTCTAGCCATTTGTCTTTGCGTATGCGATGACAGATCTCGTAGTAGGCCAACATGCCTGGCTGTTTGGTGAACTCACCGGGTTCACCGGGTGCTGAGGTGGCTACGCCTTCGCCTACTAAAGTGGTGCTGGCTCGATCAAGTGTAAATGACTGTCCATAAAATGGAATACCCATTATAAGTTTTTCTCGCTTGGCGCCAGATTTAATCAACAGTTGCATGGCGTAATCTGTGTTATATTGCGGATAACGATCGCCTTTGCGTCCATAGAGTGGACTAACATGACCCGTGCGTCCTTCCCAAGCGCCATGATAGTCGTAAGTCATTACGGTCATAAAATCAACCAACTTCGATAATTCAGCTAGTTCGTAAGCCTCAGTGATAATTTCCTTGTAACCAGATAGAGCAACGCCGAGTTGTAGCTTCTTGTCGACACGATCGAACTCATTACGTATTTCTCGAATCAATTTGGTGAAATTGGGTTTATCACTTGCCGGACCTTTCGAACAATCGCTTTGCCAACATTTCGGATAGTTCCAATCCAAATGCAAACCGGAGAAACCATTGCGTTTTAGAAAGCCGACCAAATTTGAGGCAAAAACTTTACGTTTTATCTCATCGCTCGCAAGTCGGGAATATTTATCGCCGGCAGAATCGGTCCAACCTCCCAAAGCGATCAAAACGGGTACACCCGATTGCACGGCACGATTGTAATACTGATTCTCTACATCCACCCATGGATCAAATTCTTTGATAGTCAGATGGTCGGGGTCCAGCGAGGCAAAGGAATAAATAATGGTAGTGCACAAGCTGCTATCGAGATTTTCCGGCACAAATTTGCCATCCGCCTTGCGGTAGAAAGCCCAATTTGTGATGTGACATAAAACCTTTGGAGAGGTGTTGTAATTTTTGCGTGCAGGTGGCGCAGATTTTAAATGCGTCGGCGCACCATAATATTCACCAATATCACCGTTTTGACTGTGAGTCAGCGCACCATAGCCGAATTGCTCGCGTAGCAACTCCACGTCGTCTTGTTGATCGAAGTGCTCCCCCTCAACGGGTTTCAATATCTGCTGATAGGGTGAGTCAGCTCGGTATGGTTGTGGCAAATACTTGTTATCCAGCGATGGCGCTACAAAGGCGGCATATTTGTCCGAAACCGTCCAGGGATCGGGTGCGCCAAAGTTTTCTACATCCCCGTACCCATCCACAGAGATTGTGTCCAGCAATTTCTGCGACTCAGCCTCGGTGGCGGTGGTGCTGCGTACAAACTCCGCATTCGAAACCAGCTCCGAATCCTCATTTTCATCTTCCTCCTCATCTGTTGGCAGGGATTCAACTGAGTCACGTATAAATGAACGCACTCCGAAGGAATCGCTTAATTCACTAAGTTTATGTAAATTCACTGATGGTACGCTTTCTACGGCGCTGCGCAGTGGCAAGAAGACATCCCCAAAGGAAGGGCGCATGCTGAATCTGCTGAGCGCCTGTATAGCCTGATCCTCTATGGGCACGCTTTCAACAGCCGAACGTACAAAACTGGCTGTGGAGTGCGACGTGGGCTCGATGGTATGCACTTCAGGTGCCTCAATGCGTATGTGCGCCATTGTTTGACTACTCAGATAGCATAGTAACTGTGGAGATTGGAGGGAAAAGTATGTTAAATTAAAAAATTAGAAATTAATTATTGAAAGTAGGTCAATTATCTAAAGCTGCACATTTCTCTAAAAGGCTTTCAATGCAAACTTAAGAAACGTTTAAAATAGCGAAGTCTCACTTTCCATCGTATTTTGGTGAGATCACGAGAGCTTTTGTTGAGTATTTCTCGCATAGAAAACTTTACCTTGTCTTTGACGTCTTGTAGATCGCGATGATATTACATTTTTACGATCTTGGAAGTTGTCGGTTCCTTCTTTCAAACCCCTATTTAAGTCTAAGCATGCTCTAACCTCAAATAACCAAATATTGCATGAATTTGGTTGAATAAGTTAAACCCTTCGACTAAATAGCTTAACATTTTTTTTTTTAACAAATTTTTATTATTTTTCGTTATCTGCAATTTTTTCAGTTCATTCAATTAAATTGCGATTGAAAATCTTTACAAATGATAAGACAACAAACACCAACACTCAACGATTTCGAGGAAAAACAAAGTTCAATTTCGAGCACACTATTAATCATTGGAACTTACCAGCAGGCAAGCCGCTGCACCACCGCTTACAACGCCCATTTTGGTGTTCTTTGCAGCAATAGCTTTCTTTTGTCACTGGAATTCAACGCCGGAATCTGTGCCTCCGTCCTCGTTGGACCTTTGTTTTATGCTTTCCTTCTTTGCTGCTACTCGCCCGTTTCTCTGCTCTTGTTTTTGCTTACAAGCTAGCTACCGTTTGTATGAGTAATTAATCTCGCGCTATACTGTCTGCAAAGAAAAACAAGAAGAAGCATATAAAGAATTGTTGTTAAGAATCACACACAAATGTTAGTAGTTTGTCTGTCAAGTCTGCACAATGCAATTGATGGAGACGAGTCGTTTGTCACAGTCACAACACGTACGCTGCTCTTTTTCTTCCTCTTGTTTTTTTATTGAGTGGTCATATAAAATTTATATACTTCTATATATATATTTATATGTGCTATAATAAATTTCCAGCGACTTTTTGAGCAATTTTCGTTTCTTAAGAAGACACTCTCACTGACGACGCATGCGTATGACGGCGAAGTTGCCCGTTCGATCGCCGATAAACCAATGAAAGTTGTAAAAAGATTCAACATAGCTCGAAGACTTGTAAAATATTTTCATTTCAATGAATAATAAAATTAATAATAACAACAAAATTGATTATGATTAGTATTAAAAGCTTGAAGTGTGTTATAAGCCAACAAAAAAAGTGAAAAAAACAAAAAGCCGTGAAAACACAATGTGATTCCCTGACGCACATATAAGGGAAGCCGCCATTGTGCGTGTCCTGCATGCAAAGCACCACGCACACACACACACACATATGTGCCAGTGTATGAAAGCGCACAGCAAACAAAACGTAAATAATAAATATGCGTTTGTGTGAGTAATAAAAACTGTTCACGCTGCCAGGCGCTGACAAATCGGGAAGCGAATTTCGTTGTAAAATCAATTTTAGTCACACTTCATACGAATTTTCAAGTGCCTACAACAACAAAAACAAATACTTGTGCGTGGCTATTAAGGTCATTGTGAAGTGTGCGTATGCATTAGTGTGTGTGTCGCTTTGCTACGAATTCGCATATGAGTATCATATGATTGATTGATGTACACGAGCTACTCCTGCCGAGCATTGATTGATGATCACAAAGAAAATATTATGTTTACACTTACACACATATGTACATACGAGCATGTACATAATTCAGATGGATCTCTTTATGACGTTTATATACCATATATGTGTTTGCTTTGTCTTTTTGTACGTGCTTTACTATGCCCACACTCACTTTACCGTTACAATGTTATGCAAAGCTTAGTTGTTGCTGTGTGCGTACGTTTTTGTTGTAAGGAATGTCCGTGAGCGCATGTTCTTCACTTAGCTCTTCCGTATAAATAAAATATTTGTATGGAATTTTGTGGATATGCCCGCAAAACATTTTTTATTGGATGCTGGATTGGATTGGAGATAAACGAGGGTGAGATTTTCGACGCTCACCAACTCTGGTATTTCACCACAGATAAAGTAGAAGAATAGAATATGATACTAGTCGAATTATTTGAACTCGTTTTTCGATCATCCCGGAATTATTTTAGTTAAAGCATGTTAGATTGTGATATCATGTTATACTAGAGCTAGATTTTAGAATTGAACTTGATTGTTATTCTGATAAATTCATAAGATAAAGCATAAAGTTCATTAGCTACTCCGCTAGAGCAACCAAAATCAGTGTCATTCTATCAAGAAAAAGGTTTACTAAAGTGATTGAATCTAAATGTTTAAAAGCGATTTTGATAAAAGTGTGTTCACTCTCTAACCATTTTGGACAGTAGTGTCAGCTGAAAGGCTTTATTGTTGTTGGGTTTGACGAGCAATTTGTTGTTGTTGGAACAGCTTTGTTGTAGTTGTTATTTTCTGGAACGCTTTCGAGTTTTTAGTGCGGTATTGTGACTGTTATTTCCACAAAATACTAGTCTGTAAAAAAGTAACCCAAGGCCACTGTTGCAAATATTACATTAAAAATAATTAAAAGTTACATTCAAATTATTTTTGTTTTTTATTTTGTAATACAGAAATCTAAACCAAAAATATTTTTCAAACTTTTAATCCCAACTACCGGATTGAAAAATAATTTAAAAAAATGTTTCCTAAGTTTATAAAAAACATTATTGAATTGAAGAAATAGCAGAATAATAAAAAAAAAGTATGTAAGTTTATAACAACTTTTTGTAATTTAAAAATCTAAAGATAATGTATTATATAGCTACTGCTTCATAGGACATTTGAGGTTAGGCTGCTGAAAATGGCTGAAATGGTTTTTCTGTTAGAACATCGATGACTACACAAACTTAACAAAATACGTATGAAGATTCACTCAATACTTTGTTTTGTTCCTAATAATACAACAACACATAACACTGTCCACTATGTATGTATGCATATTTCCACTTAATTTATTGCATATTCACGCAATTTCGCATTGTATCCCGATCATTACACCCACGAGTGCGAACGTGCTCTGAAAACATTTACCATTAAATCGCCTTCCGGATTGGCCACACAGCATTGCAATTAAAGTGTAACAAATGAATAATGGAAATACTAAATGCCAAACGCAAAACGCTCAAATGTAAATGTAAACGTGCGGGATTTCCGCAACACATAAATAAATGTAACGTTCCAATTAAACCACGCGCGCCTTGCGACGAAATTCTAAATTCCTGTGAGTGTGTCTATCAATCAGAGCCTGCGTTGTGTGCTAACGGGTAATTAGCTGAAAAAACTGGAAAACACAGCAAAGCGCGCGACCGCAGCTATCAGAAACGCAACTGATGGCCGACTCGCACGAAATTCTGGCCGGAAGTGATTGTATGCCGTTGGAGTGCTGAACAAAAGCCCATTGGTATGCAAGGCGATGCGTCTGTTTTGCTTAAAAGTCTGTTGACGGTTTTCGATGACGGATAGTGAGTGGTTTGATGATAGCTGGCGGCTTAAGTGAGGGCGTATTTGCATGGCTGATTGTTATTTGTGGGTTTAAGTATGTTTGAATGTATGAATGTAAGTGTGTTATATTCTAACCAAATATTCAAAGAGTATATTTCATATTTTGAGTAGAGTTTTTTAAATATTTTTTTCGCTATTAAGTGCTTGAAAAGTTAAATAATCGAAACGCTCAAGCTAATAAGTTACTTTATATTTTGTCCATGTTTAATTTTTTTAAAGTAAACATAAAAATATATGATCATATTTGGCCAGGACCAGTCCATATAAACTGCTGGCGCATACCGAATCGTTTAAAATTGTTTTCCTAGTTTGGTACAACCTTTTTTATTCTCCATATCCATATCTCCATATGTCAATTAGTGTGTATTTAGCAGCTGTTTGCTTACGATCCGAAAAGATTTTTATCATGAAGAAAACATAACGAAGTTTGATTGAAATTTTGTGTTGAAGTGTTTTGGGGAGTCGACTTTAATACAAATAGAAGTATTCGAGCGACAGAAAGCATTCAGTCAAGATCGTGAAGTCATCGAAAACTTTCCTCACTGCTTGAAAATCATTGTGTTGGCATCAGAGAGATAGCAGAGAGTCTCAACATCTCTTATGGATAGATTCAACACATTTTGGTTAATGTTTTGGGTTGGAGCGTGTCAATGCTAGAATCATATCAAGAGGCCAAGGTCTTTTGAAATAACGACACTGAGTAGAGGTGGAAGAGAAATGCTTGATCACGTAGCTGAGGACTCTATATTCAGCAAAAGCATCATTACTGGTGACTGGCTACGTTGATTTATGAATATGACGTCGAAACTGTCCAACAATTCGTTAAGCGATCCAAAAATGAATTTGCTGAAGGCACTAAAGGTCAACCCAGCCGAGAATTATATAAAGTGTATGGAAATTTGAATTAAGCGTTGGCATGCTTATATTGACTCAGGAGGCTATTTTGAATACGATAATATAGATTTGTGTTAAAATACGCGAAAATTTTATTTATTTTTGTCAATTCTGCACAAATTTGATTTGATTAAAGCCAAGAGATGTCGAACGTCGATTCTGCATGTCGGAAATGTTGCTTCAACGCCACCAAAAATAGCAGTTTTTGCATCGGATTGTCACTGGCGATGAAAAATGGATTCATTATGATAACCCAAAGCGCAAGAGATCGTATGTGAAGCCCGGCCAACCATCGACATCCACAGCAAAGCCGAATATCCATGGTGTCAAGGTTATACTATGTATTTGGTGGGACCACAAGGGTGTGCTCCATTATGAGCTATTGAAATCGGGTCAGACGATCAATGGGGACCTCTACCGAAAACAATTGATTCGTTTGAAAAAGGCTATCGCGGAAAAACGACCAGAATATGCGACCAGACACGAATCAATAATTTTTCACCATGACAACGCTCGGTCACATGTTGCAAAGCCAGTTAAAAACTATTTGGAAAACTGTGGGGGGGGAAGTTCTACCTCACCCGCCTTATAGCCCAGACATAGCACCTTCCGATTATCACTTGTTCAGATCAATGCAGAATGCTCTCACCGGAGTACGCTTCACTTCAGAACAGGGTATCAGAAATTTGGCTCGATTCTTTCTTGACCTCCAAGCCCGAGAAGTTCTTTTGGGATGGGATCCACAAATTGCAGGAAAGATGGGCAAACATCGTAGCTTCCGATGGGCAATACTTTGAACATTAAATGTATAACAATTTTTTCACAATAAAGTCTTAATTTTCTAAAAAAAACGCACGAATTAATACATGCACCCAATATTTAAATTATATTTCTATGTTTAGCGATAACGACTTCAATAAAGTATCAAATTTAATTTTGTATTCTTCTTCATTTATGACACACATTCTATGTCTTTAAGTGAAACATTAAAAAATATATATATATTTTAATAACCTAATGATGTTAAACTACGGAAATTTCACCGCATATTATAACCTAAGTGCTTTTTATTAATATTTATGGCACTAAACTAAAAGTTTGGCATAAATCACATCAAATTAAGTCAAAACTATCTAATTTAGGAATTGGTAAACATAATTACTAACTAAGTGGGTTAAATCGAAAAAATCACAAAAATGTAAATGAGGGAAAGAAGCTCAAACGCTTGTAAAGCACTTGTCAAAAGAATTCATAGGCGAATATTAAAAATAATATATTCAAACCAAATAGAAATTATATGTTTTCGTTCGAAAGGCCTAAAGAGCGCAAAAACAAATTTCATGAAGTATAATGTTTTTTGGGTTTTAATAAAAATCTTAACAAAGTCAAAAAAAAAATGTTTTCGAAGTAAAAGTTAGAGCATTCTAAATTAAAGCATTTTTAAACAAATATTTTTATTTCCTTATCAATGATAATAGCTTTAAACTGCCGACGTTACAGCTTGAAATTACGCACATTTATTAAATTTACAACATTCTTAATGCCTCTCAATAACAGCTCAGATTTCACAAAAACTTCAAAAGCTCGATTATATTAATATTTATGAAAAAACATATATTGTTATGCCTTAATTAGATTAAGCCATGACACATTGGCAGAATACAATAACAACAACAGCAATAACAACTATCAAAACAATTTCCAGCGAGTTCAATGTACCTTTGTGGTGCAGCCACGAAGAACCAAAGCCAAGAATGACAACTTGAATGCAAATTTCTGCTGCGAAAGTTCAAGCACACCAAGCCACGTTTTCAAAATATTAATAAAAAGAAAAATAATAAGCAATTGAGTGGCATATTCCACCGCTGCCGGTGATGCTGCGTATTTGAATGAAATTAAATTACAAAAACCTGCGCAGCACGCCAATTAAGTGACAACAAAGCACTGATTTACATTAAAATGAGAACAAAAAATCGAAAGGAGCTTAGTGAGCGGCATTACAAGCTGTTATAAATATTTACACTGCTTGTTTGCCGCATGTTTTAACCTAATTTTTGCGGGCGGCTTGCAGATTAATCAAAAGACGGGCTGCTGTTTGTTGTTGTTGACATTTCTTACATGTTCGTTTGTTGCCTTCCTTCCACGCACTTTATCAACGAAGCATTAAGGATGTTATGAGAAGAGAAGACGAAAGGTGTGAAAGAAAAGTTCCACCAACCATGGCATGGCAATGTAAACAAACACCAATAACGGTATAACGGCGTTCGCACAGCATTCAAGCGTTCAAGTGGAAATGCGACATGCAAGTGGGCAGGGCTCATTAGTGGCCAATTGGCCGAAAATAAACAAAACGCATGTACCATACATACATATTTGTGTGAAATATTTAAAAACGGACATGAGGGTTTCCGCTTTTTACAACTTTTTTTTATTTGAAAAAAATTTTTTTTTTTATAAAATTTTGTTTTTAATATTTTTAAACTAACATGGAAAAAAACACAAATTGTGCGAAGTCCATTTATACTGCTCTTCTATAACTTAAATTTTTTTTTGGTTAGAAATTTTAAAAACCAAATACAATTCGTTGAAGGTGCAATTGAAGAATATAAAGCAATTTCCAAGTAATCAAAACGAGCTTGAACCCCATAATTTCGTAAAATAAGCACTAAGTTTAAATTGAAAGCTAGTTGTATGACTAAATAACAAATTTGTGGAACAGTACTTTAATATTTACTAATTTACTTACTTTCTGTGAATAAAACACAAAAGACTTAAGCAACAAACTCGATATGCATTATAATGGTTGACTTTTTTATTAACACTATCGCTAAAATTTATACTTTTCTAGTGTAATGCTGCAAATATATCTTCCAGAAACTTCAAAAAGTCAAACACACTACCCTAATGGTCACATAAATCCGCAGATATTTGCCTTTATAGGGCTGAAAGCGAAAATCTTTTAATGAGAAATAACAAAGAAAACATCATTCTATGCAAATTCAATTAAAGGTGTGAATTATTAACAGTTTCTTATGCTGGAACATCAAGCGAATACAAAAGTAAAAAATTGCAGAAAATAAAATTGAAGAGAAGTTTGCAGATCAAGTTGTCTCTTATAATTATGCAAAATCATTAATGCTAATATTTACAGAAAAATGGTTAGGAATGGAAGTGTATGTATGTATGTGTATTTGCACCGTTAAATGTGCCACTTCATAGCTGGATGACCGCAATTCTCAAAGCATATTGGACCGCTTTCATTTATGTTAAGTAGCTGTCAACACAAATATGGACCAATTTGTCAAAAACATTGAAAAAATGGAAAAAATAGGTAAACAGAGCAAATTATTTAAATGCGTGTGAGATGTATGTATGTTGCAAATAATTGGAGATGAAGTGCAGAAATTTAAGTAGGTGAAGATTTCCAAGAGAGTTGAAATAAATAGTTTATTTTATAGTTTATCATATAAAAATAGTCCTCATCAAATGCTTTCTTCATATAACTCACAATTGTTTTCTCTAAAGAAATCATAATTTCAACTTCTTTTCTTCTTAATCTCTTGAATATACCATCAATTATCCTCTTACTTCATTTAATTCCCTAGCTTTTTGCGTTAAACTAAAAACATCACTTCAGATAAAATAAATAAATATAAATAAGTCGCAAAAACAACAAAAAAGTGGCGCACACCAGCCCGCGTCATTATGCAAAATTAGTTCTACCTCTCTACCAGCTTATAAATCTTTCGATAAACATGCGAAATAGAAAGTAGAAATTTGTGGCAATCGAATAATTATCCAAATGAGCACACACAAATACATACATTCACACTCACATATAAATAAACATAACTACACTCGCATTATATGCGGAAGAAGCTAATTTCATTAATTCGATTCAATGGGATTAATTGGCATTTAATTGATAATTTACAGCTTTTCCTTATATTAAAAATGTTTTTGGGTGTGATTTATCACTAAACGCGTTATAAATAACTTTTGTATTTTTTAGTGAAATTCATGTATGTCTTTCTTTTTTAAGTTCCCAAAGGTTAAAATTGTTAATTCTAGTTCTTATGTTCTTCAGGCTTCGTAGCCCAAGGAGATTTGTAGCTCGACTGCTTTGATTTAATTTTAAACATTTTTTCCCAACATCTCATAGCATAGTCAGGGATTGGCTTCATTTGATTTTGGCACTGATAATATCAGTTTCATTAATTCGCTGAGATACAGCTTATTTTGACACATATCCTGTTGAGTTGTGAGATAAACGTTTTATTTGGACTGTCGCCTAAAGTGTCTAGGTTTGCTTATAACCACCAAAATTTAAAAAAAATGTATACTCATCTTATTAAAAGCGCCTAAACTTTCTCCTAGATGCTTTGAGCTTGTCTTTCCATTTAAATAAATTTTGGAATCTTCAGCGCAACATTTAAATCGGCTATTTGATAGGGTCTACGAAAGGGCAAGTATTGGAAAAACCCATTCTTATGTTAGCCAGAAAAACCTCAAACGCGAACCTCAAATGCGGTTTTAGTCATAAAAATATACTAAGTAATCTCACATTTCATTGAAATAATTATAATCGATAATTTCTAAAACTCCTATAAATAGAAAATTTTAACCTTTCTGATTTTTAAATAACAAGTTTTTCCAATAAACAATCTTTGAATAAAGCGAATATTTATAAATATTATATATATTTTTAAATTTTATTATATATATTTTTAAATATTGTTATTATATGATTATTAAAACCTTATTATTTTCTTTAGTCCTTATAATTTTTAAGCTTCAAATTTATCAAATTAAATTGTTTCAAAATTTTCGAATTTTTTCAATTTTACTTTTTTATGGTTAAGAATGTAGAAAATAATAAATTTATTTTTTAAAACGAAAAGGAATATAGTTTTAAATTTTTTTTATTAGATCAAATTTTTTTTTTAATTTTTTATAATTTTTGAAATATAGAAAATAAATAAAACTTGACAAAATATGTGTTAAAAAATATAGATGTTTTTTAAATTTTGCAATGAAATTCTCATTTATTCCTAATCAGCGTTACCTTCAATCTTTATAATTTGAGTAATAAATTTTTTTAAATTTTTAATTATTATTATTTTTTTTTAATATTATAAAAAAGTAATTTTTTTTGAGAGTTTGCATATTTTTTAAGGATGTATTATTTTTTTAATTTTTTATGTTTTTATGTATTAAAAGTAAATACAACTTTTGCTTCCTAAAAATTATAGTTAATATTTTTCTTTTTCAACATTTTGCAATAAAAGTCTCATTTATATCTATTAGTCGGTGTTACTTTCAATCTGAAAACTTCGAATTATGATTTTTTTTGAATTTCGAATTATTTTAAATTTTATTTTCGAAAAATAATCAATTTTTTTTTTTCAAAGTAAAAATATATATATTATATTATACTTTAATTTAACTAATTTTTGCTTTTTTGAAAATTTTTGAGCTTTTACAACTTTTATTTTATTTAATTTAAGTTTAGAAATATGGAAAAAATTAAATTAATTTAATGTAATATAAGGTTATAATAACCGCTATAAGCACATGGAAAAATAGTTATTTAATTTTTTACAATGAATTTTACATATTTCTTAAAAATTGTATTATATTTAATTTTTTAAATATTTTTTAAAACTTTAAAAGTAAATAAAACTTAAAAAATATTTTATTTCAACAAAATAATAGCTAAAGTTTTTAACTTTCAATATTTTGCAATGCAAATCACATTTATTTCTAGTTGATGTTACTGTTATTCACCACACGAAATTTTTATTTGATATTATCGCTATTTTTTAGCTAACGAAGTTCTAAACTAGCATTAAAATATTTTATAAAAATTTATTTTAAAAAAATATTACTTTTACTTTAATAATATAAAATCAAAACTTTTTGTGCCCACTCACCTCGAGATATACACCGATATCCGCATGCAGCACACGTAACACGCATTAACGAAGCAACGTTTAAAACCAGATTATTCTATTTAAAAGTAAGTAATTTCTTTTAACACAAACACGCACACAGCGAAGCTAATTTCTAACGTCTCTTTGTTTATGTTTTGTTTGTGTTTTTTCACAAGTTTCGGCACACTTTTCACATTTCTAATCAATTGAATATATTCCACGCGGCCACGGCCGTCACCTACAATTGGCCACAATTCGCCAGTGACATATTTTCAAACGCGGCGCACCGCTACACAGCCAAGACGCTGGCAAATAGCGAAGTGGTGAAGCGTGCAATTTGTATTTCCAACGGCGCGTTGCAACAAATGACGCGCAGACGCGGTTGATTAATTGAAATTCACGGCAAATTCACTTGGAAACACGGCAATTAGGCGGCGCAACAGCACGAGTCGTTAATATGTGTATGTGGTGGGAAGTTCAAGCGCACAACTCTTTCCAATTAAGAAATTGTTGAAAAAAGAGAATAATTTTTATTTATATAAAATGGAAAAAGTTTCCAGCTGCGAACGGACAGCAACGGTCAGCGTAACTGAGCAAACGCGCGTAAGAATCCAACTGATTCTGAGCTGGACGCGGCGCGCGCTATTTATACAAAACGCGGCTGGGTGCGCAAGCGCCAAAAAGAAAACTAAAAAAGCGTTCTCCGGTTTCGGTGTGCATGCAAATACAAAACACAAAGAAAAAGAAATGCCGAGAAAAAAAGAAAGGTGGCGCATGGTGGGGGTGAAGCGCAGAAAAAGAGAAGGCAAGAGTAGTTGGAGTCGAAGAAGCCAATCGATAATGACAACAACCGTGTCAGCAACAACAGCGACAACATGTAAATACAAAGACAGTGGCAATTGGAGACTGGCAGTTAGCTGTAGCAGGAATAACGCGTCGAGAACGCAGCAAATTCAAAAGAAAACGAAACGCATGAATAAACAATCGCGCTGGAGTTACAGTCATAACGGACGGTCGTGGATAATCACTTGGAAAAACAAAAAAAAATTTAAAAAAAAACTACAAAAAATATTTTAAAAAAAATAATAAAAATATAAAATAAGCAAAAAATGATTTAAAAAAAGAGCAGAAAGCAGCGCCACAGATGCGCGCGTGCGCAATGGTAACAGTCACACAAATAGCGTAAATTTAAATAACAAAAAAGTGCTTGCCTGCGGAATGAGTAAAATATGTTAAAATGCCATGTTTAAGATGTTTTCAGGAATTCAGCAGCGAAAAAGCATAAAAACTTGTGAATTAAAAAAGAAATATTTATATCGACGCAAGCAATGCGACATACTTGAAAATTAAACAAAAACGCTAAAAAATTCAAAAGCTTTGCAATGCTGGCAAAGAATGCAATAAAGCGTTTTCTTTATGTTTGTTGTACGCCGATTAGTTGTTGCGCCTGCTCGCGCGCTTGTTTGGCTGGTGCTAAGCGCTACTTCAGCAGTAGCCGCGGCTGCGTAGCCGGTCATAAGGGGCACGTCACGTCGCAAACGCAATGACAGCTTTAGTGTCTAAATTTTCATGGGCAACGCGCGGCAGCAGCTTATGCGTTTCCTTATTTACCGGCCGGCAATTGATTGCATTTTTTTGTTGCCTTTTGGCCGAAACCGGAAAGATGTGGCAAGAGAAATATATGGTATTTACTACCTTGAGTGAGTTTAGCTGAAATTTTTACTTAAGGGATATTACTCTGCTGTTTTGCTAATTGAAACGAAAAAAATTAAATAAAATAATAATACAATTAAATTTTTTCTTTCAAGTGCTTAAGTTTTATAACCGCTGGTGTTATGCATTTTTTGTTGTTGCAGTAAAACAATGGTAAAAATTTTAAGAATCTTCCACCCCTGTCATGTATGACTACTAGCGTGAGTATAATTGCCGCTTGCAAACGTACACAATTTGTATTACGCGTGACAACCAGCTACTGATCATAGGCAGTTGGGTAACCAGACGCTACTTTGGTATATTATGTACGTATAAACACCAGTCCTTATTGTAAGCTTAAGTTAGGTAAACCGGCGTGTAATATCAATCCCAGATAAATCGCCTGACAACCGAAATGCTTCAATCATAGCCCGGCGAAAGCTGAGCAGTGGAGGAGAAAGTATCTAAATGCCTTGCTAAGAGCCAGTAGTTTAATAGACCTCTTACGTTCTACTCTGGGCCAAAAATACCGCTCTACAGTTTCGAACGATTCCGCTATGGCCAGACACCCAGACAAATATAATATGACAGCAGCTTGATGCTATTGCTAGTGAGTTCAGTCACTTCTTGACTAGCTTTGAGATCACCGTCAGCGAGCTCACGATCTTTATAGCGATTCTGCTGTCGGAGTAAATGCATACCTTCCTGAAAGAAGATGGCTGCTACTTCTGCCTGAAACGCACTATAGTGCTCTGGCAGTCTGAAGCAAGAGCTGGTTGAGGGCTCGCTCCGAGATATGTGCGTGGAGAAAATGCCAACAGGAGTGGGCTCCGCTACGCAGTGATCTAAGATAAAAATATGGGTCCGGTTTGGTTACTTAGACTGCCGTGGGAAAGGTTAAACGTATGCATCCTCAAAAATTGTGCGATAACGCATGAATAACAATCGCGCTGGAGTTACAGTCATAACGGACGGTCGTGGATAATCACTTGGAAAAACAAAAATTTAAAAAAACTACAAAAATATTTTAAAAAAATAAATAAAATATAAAATGCAAAAATGATTTAAAAAGAGCAGAAAGCAGCGCCACAGATGCGCGCGTGCGCAATGGTAACAGTCACACAAATAGCGTAAATTTAAATAACAAAAAGTGCTTGCCTGCGGAATGAGTAAATATGTTAAATGCCATGTTTAAGATGTTTTCAGGAATTCAGCAGCGAAAAGCATAAAACTTGTGAATTAAAAAGAAATATTTATTCGACGCAAGCAATGCGACATACTTGAAAATTAAACAAAAACGCTAAAAATTCAAAAGCTTTGCAATGCTGGCAAGAATGCAATAAAGCGTTTTCTTTATGTTTGTTGTACGCCGATTAGTTGTTGCGCCTGCTCGCGCGCTTGTTTGGCTGGTGCTAAGCGCTACTTCAGCAGTAGCGCGGCTGCGTAGCCGGTCATAAGGGGCACGTCACGTCGCAAACGCAATGACAGCTTTAGTGTCTAATTTTCATGGGCAAGCGCGGCAGCAGCTTATGCGTTTCCTTATTTACGGCCGGCAATTGATTGCATTTTTTGTTGCCTTTTGGCCGAAACCGGAAGATGTGGCAAGAGAAATATATGGTATTTACTACCTTGAGTGAGTTTAGCTGAAATTTTTACTTAAGGGATATTACTCTGCTGTTTTGCTAATTGAAACGAAAAAATTAAATAAAATAATAATACAATTAATTTTTTCTTTCAAGTGCTTAAGTTTTATAACCGCTGGTGTTATGCATTTTTGTTGTTGCAGTAAAACTGGTAAAAATTTTAAGAATCTTCCACCCTGTCATGTATGACTACTAGCGTGAGTATAATTGCCGCTTGCAAACGTACACAATTTGTATTACGCGTGACAACCAGCTACTGATCATAGGCAGTTGGGTAACCAGACGCTACTTTGGTATATTATGTACGTATAAACACAGTCCTTATTGTAAGCTTAAGTTAGGTAAACCGGCGTGTAATATCAATCCCAGATAAATGCCTGACAACCGAAATGCTTCAATCATAGCCCGGCGAAAGCTGAGCAGTGGAGGAGAAAGTATCTAAATGCCTTGCTAAGAGCCAGTAGTTTAATAGACCTCTTAGTTCTACTCTGGGCCAAAAATACCGCTCTACAGTTTCGAACGATTCCGCTATGGCCAGACACCCAGACAAATATAATATGACAGCAGCTTGATGCTATTGCTAGTGAGTTCAGTCACTTCTTGACTAGC